AGTGCGCGCCACGAGGCGTGGGCGGAGTCGAGCGATTTTAAACAACTGCCTGTAAGCATTAATTAAAGGGAGCCAAGAGGCTCGTTGTCGATGCACGACGACTCCATACAAGGTGACTGGTCTTAATTTGGCATTCGCGAAATAGTAACACCGATGCCGCTTAACGCGTACATCGTGCTGTCCGCCGCGACGTAGCCTACCCGATAATTAATTAACCGTATTTCATCGAACGCTCGCGTTTACGCGATTCGGCTTCCACTCGTTTGGCTATCGAACCCTCGGGGAATTATCGTCGCGTTGATCGAGAAACGCCTGTTTCGCGTTTTAAGCGTCTCGCGCGAGATCGACCTGTCGTTGCAGGGGTACGGCGTTGCTTCTGCCAGGTGTTGGTAAATGCTAGCGTCTGATTTATCGAGTCGTTTATACAGTTGTCTACGTTCGTACGCGAACATCCTGCTCCTCTTACGCTTACGCGTCGACACTGTGAAAAACGTTACGTTAATTTCGCTCGTTCCGCTTCTACGCTATCGCGTCCACTTTGCATTTGTGGCTATACGTTTTGCCGTATTGGATATTGTAAAAAGGAGAAAAAGAAAAGCAAAGGTCCGCCGCTATTTTCACGAACAACGATGCTCTGCCGCTGTTGTCGATTTTATTCGCGTTCGATCAAACGACTGTCGTTTCCTCGAAGTCATCGTTGACACTTTGACTGCCACGTTGGTCATTGGTGACCTGAGCGCTTCAACTTAAAAAAGTTGTGTAAAAATTGACGGTTAGGGCATTTTGAATATAACCGATAAATAAAAGATACTTTGAAACGAAAAGTACCTCATTGAAAGATTAAACGTTTTTATTAGAACATCGATAAAAAAAAAATGAGAAGAAATCTGGCATCTAACGGTGCACCGTGTTAAAACACCTGGGTGCACTGTGTTAAAACACTTTAAACGTAAATGTGGCTCGTCGATACAATCTGGACGATAGGTGGTCACCTTTTTCGTCCGATTCTTAGCAATTTTTCGTCCCAACTGTTTAACATTCTTTTTATACCACTCTCCGCGAAATTTTCCTGCCAGATACGCTTGCCCTTCTTTCTTCCGCGTTTCGCGTCGCGATCTTTGTCGAATAAGTATATTTCACGGCTCTGGCGAATGGCACCGTGTAAGGTGCATAGCGAGTGCCATTCTAAAATCTGATACCTTGATTTTTGTTTTTGTCGCTCGTTTATGGAGTATCGTCGCGTTTGAAATTGACGTATACATATTTATATACCACTCGAGAGTTCTTCTATGTGGCGTAGAATACGCTATCGTTCGATCTGATAAATCTACGGCACACGTTCCTCCGTTGTGATCTACCACTATCATTGGTTTATCGCAAACATAATTTTTTTTACCTCTACCATTTCAGCCGAATGTTTCGTCGAAATCATAAAAATAATCCTAATACCGTTTGCTAACATCTTCTACGCGTTTCGACCGTATATTCTGCGCGTTTTGCATACGACGAAATATCGAGTGCGAATGCTTTGTCGAAATAAACGAAGCCTCGTTACGATATGTCGCTATCGACTGTTACCAAGGCGCCACGGTGGTCAGCCGTGTCCACCAATAAGATAAACGGTCCATCGAGGAAGAACGTTGTCTTACATCTTCGATTTATTATTATTTTTATACGCTTCGAATAATAAAAATATTCCCGTGGCATCCTCGGAGAAACGTGTGATTTCTGCGTGACAGTCAAAGTGTTAGCGCGTATCTACAACGATCAAATATTTATCAAATCGTCGGCGAGGTATCCATCGTTTCGTATCCTTCGTTTCGTTTATCATCGATGACGCGAAGGGGACGAGCCTGTTTCTTTACGAGAGACGATAAACGTTAACGCGTCGACGCGATAGGTCGACGCATATCCCATAACGTTCGAGTTTATACTTTTCCGACCGTGTCGTCTAAATAGTTTCTTTTTTGATTTGGAAGAATTTACGATCGATTCTCATTGAGAATTACAAGTAAATTTTTCTTAAGATAAACAGTCCATTGGCGAAGAACGTTGCTTTACATCTTCGATTTATTATTATTTTTATATGCTTCGAATAATAAAAATACTCCAGTGGCGTTCTCAGCGAAACGTGTGATCTCGGCGTGGCAGTCAAAGTGTCGAAAGAACGAGTTCCCTTCAAACCGTTCCTTCTGGCGTCAAATCTCGATCGGAGAATTCTTCCCTGCCCTGCCTGAACGACTCAATTAAGACCCGTGAACTTTTACCTGCTCCCTTTGACAATCCACCTACGAAACGAACCGAAATCGATCGAGCGGAAAGAACGTCGCGAGAACGAGATGTTACGTAAGACGGTCTCCTTTTACCAACCTGGTAAAACGGTGACACACGGCGGCAAGCCGATAATTCCGGCCGATTAAGATGCACCATGCGGAGACGTGCTCGCACAATTCACGTAATTCGCGCAATTAACCCCTTAGAGCCGCATTCCCGGCCGTTCGTCGGCATCCGGTACGTCGTTCGTTCATCGTTGTTTCGTCGAGGAACGGGTTCATGAATGAACCCGGCCGTGGTTCGGCAAAAAGTCTGCTTCCCCCTTTCTTCCCTGCGTCCGTTGTGATCTACCACTATCATTGGTTTATCGCAAACATAATTTTTTTTACCTCTACCATTTCAGCCGAATATTCCGTCGAAATCATAAAACCGTGGAGCGACAGGCAGAGCGTAGAAACTGGTATCGGCACAATGCCGTCGGAATACGCTATTGGGCCGCCTCTATTCGTTCGACCGCTATTTCAACCTGCGCCCGCGGCCCAAGACAAGAAACAGACGCCACCGGAAATCATCATTCTCCCCGGGTAGGTTTAATCGAAGGGAAAACCGGAATACGCCGCAGCTTGACTGACAACAGGAGCAACCTGTCCGTGGTCGTTCGACCAGGATTCCGCGTGGATGATTTTTCTTCACCGCAGCGATCCTCTTTTCTCCGACGGACGCTTTTCTTCTTCTTCTTCTTCTCCTTCTTCGTCTATTCCTTTCCCGACGCGGATTAATTAGTCGCGTCGTTGCCGTAAACGAGCGTTCCTTCGACGAGCCTGAAACGCGACGCTGCGTCGCGCCGCCTCGTAACATCGAACATTTTTCAATCCTGTTACTTTGTAATACGTAATTATACGACGACTCGCGCGTTTAGTATAGTTTTCGAAACCACGTTCGTACGTATATGCTGATCGGATTCGCGTGGCGAACGTACGACGATATCCGGAGAACACGCGCGCCTCTAAGTTTCGTGAGATCGCGACGCGACGATATGGTAGCCGGCACGCACACCAGCTGGTCCAACTTTTTGTCCAGGGTCGACAGCTGCGACGAAAACGAAAAATCCGAATTGGAATCAGCGAGAGCAAGAAACCTCGACCCCTTCGACCATC